CACCACTAGCCGTCGTTCTTGTAGAAAATTGCTAATCCAACTCAGGATTGGATCTCCAATGCCGTCGTTCCGAAGCTTCTGAAGGAGAATTCGATGGTCTAAACGATCAAACGCTTTTGAAAAGTCCAGGTAGATGACATCGACTCCAACTCCATCAGCAACAGCTTCAGTCCAGCTATTACGTGCAATTAATAGGTTAGTATTACCCGAAGGCTTTTGACGAAAGGCGTGTTGCTCTGGGGCTATTAAATTGTGGTTTTCCACACACAGTAGGACAAATGAACGGCGTTTCGCACCTCCCGACCATCGTCATTTCCTCGTGGGACGATGATCGCTTCTTCGCGGGACGATGGTCGTTTCTCCGTGGGAGGAGTGTCGTTTTGGGGTGGGGCGGGGGAGGCGGGGGGAGAGACCACTTCCAAGCGCACAGTTTGGCAACAGCAGAGGTTGAGGCCCTGTCGGCTATTTTCTGGACAAGCCAGTATTTTGTAGTCCGACAAGCCCGCTCCAAAGGCTCGCCGAACTTCACCCTGCCGTGCAATCAATAAATAATTAAGACCGGACGGCGCATCGGATCCTAATTGTCAGCTACATTTATTTCCGAACACGAACAGATACTCCTTTGCATACGAATAGCTTCTGCGAACTTCGATTTATGACCGCTTGTTATTTCGAAGGCTTCTTCGTTCAGCCTTCTTAGGGGGGAGCTCTGTAGCAATCTAAAAGATATTTCTTATCTTAAATATACTTTGTTATTCAATCGTACAATATTGGTTTTTGTTTAATGCCGACTCTACGGCCATTCTTACCTACATCCGGCTCACCACTTGTGTCCACGGTGAGTTCCGACACTGACGTACGCTCTAGTCGCTTCATCCGTTTTTTGTTCGATTGTAGCCTTTCTCAAATACAATCCGCTGTGTCCGACTCCAATTTCCTTCTGATATCCGCGCTTACTTTTGCGCACCGTCTCGAACTAGTATTTGCTAACCCTACATACGCAACCAATGCCTTTGGTTCAAAAGAATGTCCGCAAAGCTGCAGGATTTTCGCACTGGGATGCAGGGAGTAAGTTTTACGGAATAGGGACCCACCATCACAAAGCAGTTGTTGTTGAAATCATCCGATACGAGGCGCAGGCTGAAGTGACAACACTGATAGAAACTAGAATAAAGCTCATTTAGTTCGTTGTGTGACCAGCGAATATAGTTAGTCGTCGGGAACACATTCTGACGAGGAATTTCAAACTTTCGCGCCGTGGCCACAGTTTTCGGAATCCGCATGACCCACCTTGTTCGGTGCCGTCAAGTCAAAATCGGCATTGTTTGTCTGAAATATTGAATTTCATCATTTCACATTGTCGTATTCGTATGGACTAAAATATAACCATCCATAATGTGAAATTGCTTATATGAAAAGACAGGATACACGGTGCGCGGGTGCCACTCGAAAAAATCAACAAGCGTCAGTCAGTGGTGACTTATAATCAGTCGATGGTTTAAAGTACAGCACTTGGTGTGTGGCGGAACCGCTTAGTGCGGCAGATGACGTACGATAACAAAGGCGTTGGTGCATCAAATTTTGATCGTTTGATCAGTTGACCTTCGTCATGTACGTGCTGGTAACCCCCTTCGAGGTAAATAGTTCAACGGTTCCAACCCCAATACAGCAGTTACATTTATGCAGAGGGATATTATGAAAAATACAAAGGAAAATGTGTTAGGATAACAGCTATTTGACATCCATTTTTTGCGAACGAGCTTAAAAGCCATTCTGTATTCTTCCTACTTTTCCCTTCTTGACTGTTGTTTAAAAGCTCCACTGTGCTAACGCGATTGGTACACACACGTCATTGTTAATGGACGCTCATCTCCTTGTCATCTTCAGCAGTGCCATTTGCAAGAACACATTCCACTGGTTTTTCTCCGCATCACTTTTCTGCTTGGTCATGTTAAAGGAATATTTCGTTGTCACACAAGTATTGTACTAGTGTTTTAATTTTTGGGTCTGAACTTCTTATGTTCGTTTGTTTCATGGAATTTATTTAAACGCTACGTTTCGCTATTCTGATTGGCCCGTGCCCGTCACTGTAAATGGGTGTTCGCTTTACAATTTGGCTCCCATGGTGCTATTTTTAAGGACATACACAATGCGCTGTTGATTACACGGTTACTCGTCTGTCCGTTGCATTTGACGTTTTCCTTCCGTTGGTTAGCTCAAGCGTAGTTTAATAGCTTCCAATTATTTTGCTTTTAAAATTATATAAGCAAATGTGATTCCATGTATACAAGTTTCTTGCCGGCTCGTCTTTGGACTTCTTCTTACGGTTGTTGGGTGAAGGTGTCAGTGGTGACACAACACATTATTATCAGTGTGGTAAGCGTGGGCGGGCCTGCGTGTATTAACCAACCGAAGAATCTCCTCGATCTTGCGTGTGTACTCTTCGGGAAAGAGGCCTAGGTGGTCGGTCAATAAGGGATAGTTGATATCATAGGTGAAGAAAAATGACGAGAAAGCAGCAAACGGATATTCAAAGAATTGATGCCAACATCTTCGCTGATGAGTTAACCAACTGGTAATCACTGTTTGTATTGCTTGAGTAGCTCGATCTAAGTTAGTGTTAGCAGGGAAGAAGTGTGTCGATCAGTGAAACGGTGGGCTGGATGGAAGGTTGGATATTTAAATGTGAATTGCCGGTCCAAGGTGGGGGACAAAAAACCAAAGATAGCATGGGAATTCGAATTTCCGTACACAAAAATTATTGTTCTTATTATGAGAAACGGCTTGTAGTTTGTAGTCAATGACATATTTTACCTTATAGGTACTACAAGATCCGTTTCGCGAAGAATTAGTGGCGGCATCTTTTAACAGCCCGAAAGTAAATGAAGTTCTGTATGAGGGCTGATACCTCAAACTATCCTACTCGCGTCCAAAGGCAGTACATTCACTTTCGCTTGAAAAGTTATCACCGTCATTTGCACACTTTTCATGTAGTTATTTTTTCGGTTGTTGCTGTTTACTCTCCCTTCATTTCGATATATTCTGGAACAACGTACTTCAGCACGCGGACTATTTAGCGACCAAATGGACCCAACTGAAGCTACCATAATCTGTTGCCAGTAGTCACGTCTGTTTCGTTTGTCCTCCGTAGGTTTTCAGCCTACATGTCATCCACCATCTTTAACGATCTGATGGCATAATTCATGTTTATATATTATAGGCAATACTTCCTCACGTCTAGACTCATTCAGCCAGCCACCATACGCCTGGAAAAGCACTGTACGCGCGTTTCATCCCTTCGGGAATCGTCAGCACTGCGTATCACATCATACCCTGGTAGGGCTCGAACCCGCAACTCGAGTGTTGCCAGTCCGTGGTTGAGACCACTGAGCTACAAATATCTACCTATACCATTCAACTCCCCCTACTCCTCCTCTGTAATCAGTGCGCAGACCAAGCTGCTTATAATTGGCGGCCTAACTTTGTTAAGTTCGTCGCTTGGTGAGGGGGCTAACCTGTCCTCTTCACGGTAGTAACATGCAAGTCAGTGGATAGTGGGTGGCACTATATCACATCTAGTAACTTATTAAGGATGGTCGTTGCCGTCCCCCGTAGCTCAGTGCTCTCAATCACGGACTGGCAACAGTCGAGTTGCGGGTTCGAGTCCTACCAGGGTCCAATGGAATGCGCACTGTTGACGATTCACGAAAGGATGAAACGCGCGTACAGTGCTTTTCCGGGTGTGTGGTGTTTGTCTGAGTGAGCCTAGATGTGACGAATTTCTACCTATACCATTCGACTCTCACTACTTCTCCTCTGTTGTCTATATATTAGTTAAGCTTTTTCATTGTTAGTAAGCATTTTGCTGGATTGATGTTATTCGCGATTTATCTGCTTTCACAAACTGTTCAGTTCTAACATAATTTCGACTGCATGTCCGAAGCAATTTACATGTAGGCAAGATCACATTTTTCCTACTACACAGAAGTCAACACTTACAGTATTCGTGTCCATATTGAATAATTCTGAATCCTTATGTGTGAACGGACATAAAGCTTTAGGTCCGGATAGTAGTCACTCATTGCATATGCAATCGAAAGCCGGAAGGACTAAGATTTGTTTTCCGTTAATCGCAATAAGGAGAGACAGTGAAACAACCGACGTGCGAGTCTATGCATCAATTCTTTGGTTGATATAACAAATGCATTACCAGCTCCTCACAGCTGCGTTTAATGTAGTTAATTTGACGTTCCTACCGGTGCCATTGACTCTTAATCCAGATTGTTGCACTTATTTTGCTGGTAAATGTTACGAAAAGCACTAACCTGCCTTCAGTTCTAAGTCTATCAGCGTCATTACATACAGCAAGAAACGATTTACTATGCCACCGGCGATGCAGTGCCTGACATAGTAAGTTTGGGATAGCCCTAAGATTTTCTATCTCACTTCGCTTAGGTACAAGTGAGTAATTATGAGCAACTTATTCAGAGCGGATCGAGATCTCCGAAGCGCAGATCCTGTCTTGTTGCACCTCGGACTTACGGTTCATGCATTGTCCAGACCATGTGGAACTGACATGCCGAATCATCCAACACATAATGATCTGTGTGCTCCGGATTATTGGAACGCCTCTGAAGGGAATCACGGGTCCGTTTCCAGTACTAGTTGTACCTGTTTACTGTGACTTACTCTCTAGCTTTTGGGCGCGCACACGGCGTAAGGCAAACTACTTGTGAAAGATATGAAAACAGAAGATTCTTGCGGACTTCTGCAAAATGAATACAAGAATATTTATGATTAGGCTAATACCGCCTACTGCAAAACACTAGTACAGCATTCCTTACCAGATGTACAGCATTCCTTACCAAATGTACAGCCACTTCCTCTGAACACTCCAACTATAATAATAAAAAGTGGACTTATTTATCCATAATCCAGCAAATCGTACGGTACGACAGAATTAGTTGTAAGCCTTTTGTGAACGAAAGCAGTGTTCTTACCTGTGGTGTTAGACTGTTTTCTTCGAAATCTCTTAAACTGATGCCAGTAGAATGATGTTTCCTTATTATTGGTAACAAAAAGACTGCCTGCTGCTTGGGGGTCAGTCCGGACGGCGGCGAGTCTTCTGTACTATCATTGGGCGTGATGTGCTCGGAAGTTGTGATGTACTCCTGTTCGAAATCGTCCTCATCACTGGTTGATTTTGATGATGATTGCCAATCGAGCACCTCATCGATGACGTTCGGAATGCGGTCGGGGAGCGTTCCCAATGTTGATTTTGAAAAATGATTCACCTGTTGGCGAACAGGAAACATTGGAAGGTCCATTTGGTCAAGACTTCACCACGTTATGTTACGCAACCGCATGACCATGTGAATAACAGGAATAAAGCAAATCTTGTATGGATGACCAGTGGAGCCCATGTTTCTAGCAGAAGATAGGAAACGTGAGTTTGTGATGAAGAATCCAATGCTCTTTTATCCTGCTTAAACATTCAGAGAGTGTTGCCCCCTACAACTGCGCCCCATTGTTTGTGGTATGATCGCTTGGTTGTATGAAATAAATGAAATGACACAATACGTATATCAGTATGTTTTAACTCTGTAACACTAATAATATAGGCTTGTTAAGTTGATCAAAAATTATGAGTGCCTAGTTTGGTCACGGAACCAGTAGTACTACTCTTTTGCTCCGGTTAATCAGACTAACTCTGACTATGTCATAGCAGGGCGCTTAGCAATCGCTTCAATAAGAGGAATGCTTAGATCAAGCGGCCACCTTAAGTGAGAACGGATGAAATGAATTCGACAAATGCTAGATAATTGCTATGTTTATCCCTTACTGATCCATTTATTTCTATAAAACTGTTTTTCGTTTTCGCCCCCCGTACATTACCTGAATACCAGTATACGGTGGGGTACTACGGAATCACATATATATTCATTCTTGCCGAACAAACATAGCATAGCTTACATGCCTTGAAGTAAGTATTGCTTTGAATTTTAATCTCTTGCTTCAGATTATGGTAGGCAAATCCCCTTTTATATACAGATCGCTCCTCTAGGATTAGAAGGGTTTATGCTGTAGTTATCTTTTGTATATCTTCTTGGCGGTCCAAAGCGACAGCCGAATCTTAGCGTGTTAAACGAACTCGCAATGTCACACGCGAGAAGTCTGCGTAGCTTAGATAATTTAAAAGCATCATATATCAACCAGAAATAGTATTTTGTCTGCACTATTATTTCCAGTGGGGTGGAGCGTGCTAGCAACATGCCAGCAACTTGAAAAGCCAAAAGCACGCTCGTCATTTTTTCTTTGAAGCATACTAAAAGTGTTTATTGACATGACACAATTCCACATGTGTCAACCACAGTCCCATGCTTCAATTCCCCTTGTTAGAATATCGTATAAGCTCGTACAAAGAACTTTACAAGTTGTCGTGTCTACACAGTACCATAAGAGCGCAAAGGATCTACAGAGAGTGGATCTACCAACCGCTGCCACAGTATAAGCTGTCAGCTGGCAGGGATCCTGCAGAGAATCGGTAGCGACACGTATGGTGGTCCATTCGCTGCCATTTTCGAACTGACAGAGAAGCGATGCTTGACCAAGAGCCTTATAGCCAATGAGAAAAGTTACCTGGTCAAATGTCAGCAGTGTGGACTTTCCGTACTTCTAATGGTTCATTGAGGTCAATTTTCAGTCGGACATCTCACAGTATATCATAAAATGGTCAGACGACCATTTGGCCCTATTGCGACTTATAAATGGCTCGCTTTTCCCGACTTTTCGCAGTAGGAGATTCATAGATGAAATAGTTCCCCAACTAATACTGAAATGCGCCTAGGTTCTCTCCGCCGAAAATCGGAGTAGTAGAGTTGTATGCTTCTCAGTTAACAACAGTAAACAGCGAAACACAATAGTCCACTCACATTTTTACTGGGTTGTATATTAGGCTGCCAGACTAAGAACCAGCGGCCACAAATCCATCAACAAATACTGTTACACGGCTAAAGGAAAAAAGGCAATCCGACTATGATTAAGCTGGTAGTTTATAAATGCAGTTTTTCTTATCCCAACTGTTCAACGGGGTGAATGAGGTTGGCTGTAAATTCTAGTGAAACATAGGAGAAGAATATAACTGTATCCGTACCGACACAATTAGGCCAGCTTAATAACAAAGGGGACTGCAAACATGACAGACATGCTGCTCTACATGTCCTATAGACACTCTATTTCCCGATCAACATTTATCCCCTTTAAGGGACCATTCCTCGGGAAGGTAAAGAGACCCCAGGGACAGCAGTTTAAACGTAAACATCTTTGCAGCATGCACGGGTAATAAAGGAGGAGTTAGTTTTGGTCTGTAGGGCATTAAGTAACAGTGCTATTCGCATACAAACGCACTGCCTGTTGTTAAACCGCGTGCACACTAGAGCCGCCGCATTGTCGTTTCTGTCGTGTGCTGAGTAATTGCGGATCGCGATGGTACAACTAAGA